GACTTCACGGGTAGGTGCCGCGGTCCGCCGTGGGCAGAGGACAGGGGCAGGGCTGGGCCCGCTCCGCGGCCCTGGAGCCCCTCTCGGAAGCGGTGCTTCCCATGGGCGGGGTGCTCGGGAAATCTGCTTCCTGCTGGTCCCCGCAGACTGAAGTTCCCGCTTTCTAGTCCATCAGGCGAAGGCTGCAGTGACCCCACCTGGGTGGACAGAGGCCATGCCCTGTTATAAGTGATTTTAAAATTAGAGTACTTTATTCCAGATTTCATAAAGTACTTTTTTCTTTTTGCAGTAACGGGGATTGAAGCCAGGGAGCACGGAGCTACATCCCCAATCCCACCCTACCCTCTTTTTTTCAGACAGGGTCTCACTGAGTTGCCCAGGCTACCCTTGAACTTGGTCCCTCCTGTTTCAGCCTCCTGTGTAGCTGGGCTCGCAAGTGTGCACCACCGTGCCTGGCTAAGTGACAGCGCTTTATTCCAGATTTTAGGTGTAACATGGTTTGTGCACGACAGTGGAGCAGGGGTGATAATCCTAAGCTGTTAATCGTTTGGGTTCCGAAAGGTGTTGTCGGTCGTTTTCATGCCTCCTTGTCACCGTAGAAAGTGACTCACCTTCCTGCCTCTGAAGACTTACTTCCTGGGACACGTCCTGACTCATCGCAAAGATAAATCATTTCCAATGCAGCCAGTGGCTGGTTTTTAAAAATAAATAGCCAACCCGAGAGCAGTTCCCAAACACACGCTCTTCCCTTCCCAGCCATACATCTTGCTGTGGGTTTTGATCGCCTGCTACGTAGAACTATGGCCCATTTGGAAACCAAGTTCACAGTGGTCCCAGTGGAAATCGATGCTGTTTGGAAAGCTCCCTGGGGACTAGCGGTGGCTTGATTTATTCCGGAGGTGGCTTTGAACTCTTTCTGTGGACTGTGCCCGTGATTAATGAGTTTAGTCTAAAGACCTGAGGAATCGTTACCCTGTGGGGTTTCATCCACCTCTTTCCTGAACTTCCTGCGAGGGCTGGAGGTATTAGCAGGTACTTAGGGAGTTCCTGGTGCGGCTGTGGGCAGGAAGGAAGGAAGGCAGAGGTGTAGGAGACCACACAGCCCACACCTGAGGCCAGAGGCTCCTCTCCTGAACCCCTCCCTGGGCTGCACTTGGGGTGGGGCTGTTCCATGCTACCCTTCTGCCAAACCCTCACGCCAGCGTCTGCGCCTGTTCCGCGGTACCCAGCCTGCCTGGGCGGCCCTGGGAAGCAGCTCCCGTCCCCAGAAATTCCCGCCACGAGACTGGATGAGCGTTGCTTCCCCAGAACCCCTGCTTCAGAGGAAGCAGCCGAGGCCACCATCCCAGAGCACAGTCAGCAAGTCTGCAGCCTTCCTTCGTGCTGCGTGATTTATTGGGTGCCTGCTGTATGCCAGGGCAGCGTACACAGCCAGACGTCACCTTCCCCGTTTGGGTGGATGACCCACGTTCATCTGTGCATCTGGACCCCCGGCACCCGCCACTCCCATCCGTGGGGTAGCATCTAAACATGGCAGCCCTGAAACCAGGCATTGGCCTAGGGCCGTGGGTCCAGGCTGCCCTTGAACTTGGGCTCTGTCTGCCTCAGTCTGTTGGAGAGCAGCAAGGTAGGGTGAGCTCAGGCCTCGCCTGGGGCAGGGAGTCACTAGGAAATGGACTCTCACATGCCCTTGGAACACAGGTTGACCCGTGGGGGAAGTGATTGACTTCTGCTGCTCCCCAATTTTCCTTTCATTGTGAGGGTCATTTTTAGAAGGCACGGCCTGTGGCTGTCATCGCCAGCGGGAGCACAGAGACTCTGTGATTGGCAGGAGACTAATTTGAATCTCTGGCTACTGAGAGTGTCCTGTGAGTTTCCCTGCAGATAAGCCTAATTAAGACTGGTTCTTTTTCCTGCATGCTCTTCTTCCCTCTCTCCCTTTTCTGCCTTTCAAGCAGGGGTCCCTCTGCGTGGAGGTAATTGCGCTTATTTTCTCACGATGACAGTCCCGCTGTCGTCACATGGCTTTCATTACCACTGCCTGGTAAGCTGAGCTCTGGGCCTTGCGGGAGCAGGGTTGGCATCGTCCCAAGTGGCGCTGTACCCCTTGGCTTCCTGGGCTGCTGGACAGGAGGCCTGGCAGGAGCCGGCAGAGGAAGGCACCAAATTAATTTCTTGAATTTGACGCCGGACAAAGTGCGGTGACTGCCCCTTTGTGTTTCTGAATCCACCTTGGCCTTAAGATGCTCCCACGGGGACCCCTGGTCTTTGTGGGGTGAAGAGGGCTGCTGGCTCCACTCTGAAAGGGATGGGGACAGAGAGCTGCCCTCCCAGTTTCTCCACCCCGCAGAAGTCCCAGAACAACCTGCCTCCTCTCTCCTCAGCCCCTCTCATTCTCTAAACGTTGAGGTTTTGGTTAAGTTCCTTGAGGACGTGGCCCTGGGTTCCCGATGGGGATGCGGCCTTCCTCCTTCCTGTCTCCCGCTTCCTCCTCGGTGTCCCTCTGTCTGGAGCATGTTCCCTCCCACCCACCTGTCTGTCAGGTGCCCCCATCAACATCTGCCTCGGTCGCTGTGCCCTGCTCTGGGAAGGGTCCGCAAGGCTTCTTTACCGCTGGTGCACGTGGGGTTCCTCACGTGGAGCGGCCCAAGTTCCTTGTCTGTTCCTTGCTCCGCTCACGGGCTGAGGTTCCCTGGCCTCCAGGTCCCCACTCCTCAGTCGGTGCTAACTTGCAGGAAAAGTTTATTGAACCCGTCGCCGTGTTGGTCACTGGCCTGGACAATGCTGCCTGTATTGTCTCACTCAGTTCTCACATTGGCTCTGTGGCCCCATTTTATAAGTAGAGAAATTTCAGTACAGAATGTGAAAGCACTTTTCCGAGTGGTTCTCAGCCAGGGGTGATTTGCCCTTTCAGGGGACACAGGACAAGATCCAAAGGTGGCTTTGGTTGTCACAGCCGGGGATATGGAGCTCCAGGCTGCTGCTTCCTGTTCTGCAGTGCACAGGACGGTCCCTGCTGCAAAGGCCAGGCCCTGCAGGTCTGTGAGCCGTGTGAACCCTCCCTGTCTTCGGAACTGGATGCTCTGTGAAGGCAGATGTCAGTATCTTCTGTCCAGCAGTGTGCGCGCACAGCCAGTGCGGTGCAGGCACACAGAAGGCACGGGAGTGGGTGCCTTCAGCATACAGGAGGCACGGTGTGCAAGTGTGTGGCACGCATTAGGCATGGTGTGTGGACCAATGGTGCATACAGTAGGCTGTGTATAGGTGTACGGCGTGCATGGTAGGCTGTGTGTGCAGGTGAGACCAGGTCCGGAGAGCTGCCCCTGTCCACGTGGGCCAGAGTGCGTCCATGAGGTCAGCCATGTGTCCTACGCTGTGCTCAGAGCACCTGCTTTGTCGCTTCAATACTGAGCTGGAAGGGACAGAGCCCCTGCCCGTCTCCTGGGTCCCTTCCCAGAGGCCGAGTCCCCCATGGCTACTGCAAGCTCAGGGCAGTGAACTGGAACACCCACTCCTGTGTCCCACATTCCTGTGAGGCTTTCCCCTCTCCCTGACCACTTCCGGGTGACCTGAACAGGCAACTGACCACTCTGGATTGAAGTCCCCCATGGGTGCACTCCTGAGTGGCAACTACCTGTCACTGGTGAGGGCTTCTAGTGTAAGGTCAGTTCAGCTGCTTTTGGGCCAAGGAGGGAAGATGTGGGCCTGCATGTCACTGTCCTTCTTGAGTCTGGGCACCCCCACCCCGGAGTGCTCTTGGCCTGGTCTGATTTGTTAAGGTTAGGTTTATCCTTGATCTCTGCATGTGGGACCCTGGGCCACTTGTCTACATTTCAGCAAGTCCTACCAGTGGTCCTTATGTGGCCAGGGGACTGTCAGGTAAAAATTCCGAAAACCAAGACCAGACCAGAGCCACTACAAGCCTTTATTGTAGGGACCACCTGTTCGTCTGTCTCCAGTCAAAGGAGAGAGAGTACTATGGCAGAACACAGAGCGTCTTTTATAGGACTGGGGTGGGGCTTATAGAAGCTGGGGTGGAGTTAAGTGAGGTTGTATCAAGGGATTGGAGGAGCCTGTGACATCACTAGGAAGGGACTCTGACATCACTGTTTCCTCAGAGGTAGCAAGTATCTGGTTACTTTTTGGCAGGAGAAGCGGCATCATGGGAAGAAGGCTGTCCTTTGGTAGGTGGGAGAAGCCATCTTTTTAGGTGAGAAGCAGGGCGTTGTGGGAAGGGGAGTAACGGCCATTTTAAGGCGAGGGAAATCTAACAGGAACAAGGTACCCACGGCTGTCTTACGGCTCTGCACACCCAGGATGCCCGGTCTGTGAGTGTGGCCAGGTGCTCCTTGAGCTGGGTTTCCCTGGGGTGGGTCATTTTCTGGGAGACGCTCCGTAGTGCTGGCTTTGAGCTCGGCACCGTCCAGGGCCAGAGGCAGGTTTAAGGCCAGAGCAACATTTGGTGTAAAAATTGAATCACCTGTCTGCTCGTGGAGAATTTTTTAGGTTATATTCTGGCTTCCTTTGGTCCTGTTGTTAATGCAGACATGGCTGTAACTCTGCATTCTGCCTGGCATTCACGTAGCAGAGTGGTGGCATTCCTATCACCTGGTGATACCTTAATGCACGAAATGACCCCTACCCCGGATCCTGCACCTCCTGAGCATTTGCAGAGGCCTTGCTCTGTCTGTGCCGAGCCATGTCCTGTGGCCCTGTGGAGCGACGTCCCCTGAGTGCAGAGGAGACGCTGCTGGCCAGCACGACCCTCGTCAGGATTGCAGCTGGGCTGAGTATTCAAGCAAAGCTGACGTTAGTGTTTAAACCTGAGCGTTAATTAACACTAATGTGAAAATCATTACCCGGCCTGCAACTGAAACCTCAAACAAAGCAGGAACGGAATCTTTCCCCTAGGAAAATGAGCTTCTCTGATACTTGGATTATTCCCCATTCCTCTCTTCTTGGCTCCATTGATGTCTGTTGCTGTGTCTGTGTCTGCTGTCAGGGGACTGACTCTAGGATGGGACCGCACAGCTGGGCGTTGTTGTGTATCCGAGTGGCTGTTTTCTTCTAAATCACGTACCCCAGGTGTAGGCACAGGGATCCACCTTGCAGGGGCCGCTTAAGCTCATGAGGAGTGGGTCGTTGAAGAGGGGAAGGTCGGGAGCAGTGCCCTGCCTGGGAGACAGCGTCCCAGAGTGGGCCTGGGGCGGCCTGAGTGGCGGGGAGCACGCGGCGCCTGTCACTCAGGCCCAGCCCCCACTGGGTCCCTGCTGCACAGGTGTGTCCGCAAGTCAAGCGCAGCACAGTGGTGGATAGGCAGGAATCGTGGTTTTTTGCCTCTGGAATGTGTGTTTTACTCATTTTTTAAACAGCGGGTGTGTCTACAGTTCTGGGAATTTGCTTCAAAGACATTGATGAAGTCATCGGAGGAGGCTGCCCTGGTCACGGCCCACAGCCTCCCCTCCTCCCCCCGCTCTCCAGGCGGTAGGAGGAGTGGGCAGGTGTCGCCTCACCTGGGGCCTTTCCTGGTAGCCTGGCCAGGTGGGAGGGGCCAGGCCGGATCAAGGAGGGGACTTGGTGCCCAGAGAGTCACCGGGATGTGGTCAAGAAACCAAACAAAGCTGAAGACTCCCCAGGGAGGGGCCCAATGGAATGGGGAAGAAGGAAGGGTGCAGGGACAGGGACAGGGACAGGGACAGGGTGTGCAGAGAGGCGGAGGCAGACTGAGCAGAATGAGGATGGCAGCTCAGACCGCTGTAGAATGAGCCTCCCCTCGCCACACTCGGCCTTTTAGGTGCTGGGACAGTAATCCTGGCCTTCAGCGATGGATACACAGCCAGGGAAACTGAGGCACTGGTCAGTAGCTTGCTCAGGATACCTCTGTTCCTGGCAGTGGTACTTCTGGAGTTTGGTGGAAGGGGTGCTGGGCCCCCGTCCCCAGGTTTTCCCCCAGCATCCCCTCCTGCGGTGCATTTTTGGGAAGTGGGATGCTGGGCAGGTGTAGGTGCCACTCCTGCCTCTGCCCTGGCAGCTGTGTGATGTTACGCTCTCCGACCCTTCCTTACGCCTCTGCACAACTACGTGCTGCGACTTGCCCTGCAGGGAGGTTGCTGGCGATGGCACTGTGACGCTGGAGGAGAGGCTGCTGCAGAGGGCACCTGTTCAAGCAGCTGGGGTTCCAGCGTGGCTGAGTGGCCCTGTCCTTTCCGTCTGTCCGTCCGTCTCTCCGTCACCTGTCCAGCTGCCTCCTGCAGCTCTCACGTTGAATGGAGGACCCGGTGGCTGCAGCCTCTACTGGTCTTGCTTCGGTCCCATGTGGCTGGACAGGAGAGGGCTGGGCTCTGCCTTGGCCTGATCTGTGGTTGCCCTGTGTGTGTGTGTGTGTGTGTGTGTGTGTGTGTGTGTGGTGTACGCACAGGTGTGCATGGGTGTGGATGTGTGTGTTTGCTTGCATGTGTGTCACAGGTCCAGAGGGTCTTCCTCAGGTCTGGTTGGAGTTCTCTTGGTTGGGCGGGAGCCCCAGGTCTGGTTACAGCCTCAGCTGTGTCCACTGTTGGGACCTTGACTGACCCTGATGGGCCGCCCTCCCCTCCCCTGATGTCCCTCCCCCTGCTTTGATGCCCACACCTCTTTCTCGCTCCCTGTTCATTTTCCCATCTGCTCCAAGACTTTGGGGTCATTTCCTCACTTTCCTGAACGTTTTACCTTGTAACCCAGATGGGGACTCTACAGGGCAGGAATCTGTCTTGTTTTCTCTTGTGACACCAGTGCCCACGCTGGATGGTTGGGCGAGGGAGGAGTAGGTGGATGGCTTGGTGAGTGGGTGGATGGATGGGTGTATAAATAGATGAGTGGAGGGACGGAGGACGGAGAGATGGTTGGGTAAGTGAGTGGGCAGACGAGTGGATGGAGGCTAAATGGATGCGCGGGTAAGTGGGTGGTCGATGAGTAATTGTAGGTGAGTGGGTGAGAGAATGGGTAGTTGGTGGATGTGTGTGGATGGATGGATAGGAGGTGAGTGAGCGCATGGACGGATGGGCGGATGGACGGATGGGCGGATGCGTGAATGGAAATATGGTGGGTATTTGGGTGAACGGTGAGCAGGTGGGTGTATAAAGGATCAGTGGGCCAGCATGGACAGTGTGTAACCATTTCTGACGGACACCTCCCTTCTCCCAAACCCTGTAATGTCCCCATTTTGCCTGTCGTTGTGTTTCCTGGCATCTTGAAGCTTCTGCGGTGAGCTGCATTTCGGGTTGCCTTTTCTTTGTGGAGACACGAGGTCCCTCTTCATGTCCTGACCTTCCGTGTTACAGCTGAGCTCTTGGGTGGGCTTTGTGCTGTATTCGGGTTTGTGTGACTGTGCCTAAGGACCCCACTGCACCCACCCTCGTTGTGATCCCCGGGCTCTGTCACCCACCCCTGTTCTTTCTCTGCTCCTTGTCAGTTGTTAATCTTCCCTCAACTTCCGGCTTCCATGCCTTCTGCCTGAATTCTACTCTTTCTGCCTTTGGAAATTCTAGTTTTTCTAGTTCAAGGCCCTTAGCTATTTCTTAGACTAAGAGGGGATCATTTTTTTATTTGCTTAAAAATTTAAGTTGGCAAAGCTTGATCTGCCCTTCCTCTCCGGGGGTGTCTCCTGGCCCTGCTGGCGATTGGGTGGGGTGATGAGCTGGCTGTGCTCTCCACCCATGGGGCCAGACCCTGTGGGTCTCTGTCCCCTCTCCTGGGCCACCCAGGCATTGTCCTGCAGTGGGCTGTTAGAGCAGCTTCCTGAACCGGCGCCACCCACGCACATGATGTCCCCTACCCGCTCCCCGATGAAGCCCAGGCCATCTGTCTGTCCCCCTCCTTATTCACGGGCTGACAAGCTGCACGCCCACCCCCAGTTCCTCGTTGCAGGTGGGCGGTGTGACTGAGCCCTGGGGAGCTGGGGCATTTCCAGGGGCCCAGCAATCCTCAGGCTCAGGGTTGGTGGCTCTGCTAAAGCTAGCCACAGCCTCTGGGCAGGCAGGGCGGTGTCCTTCTGGCCACAGGGCTTGTGGGGGACAGGCGTCTAGTGACAGGGGTGTGTGTGAGGTTATGGGACCTTGGCTCTTGGGAATTGCTTTTCGTTTATTTTTTAGTATCCAGTCTCAGGTTTTTTCTGTTTGTTTTTGTCATACTAGGGATTGTATCCAGAGCCTTCACACTGAACTACACCCATAACCCTGTTTTTATTTTGAGACAAAGTCTGGTTAAGTTGCTAAATAGCCCAGGCTGAGCTTCAGCTTGTAGTCCTCCTGCCTCAGCCTCCTAGGGGACTGAGATTATAGGTATGTGTCACCATGCCTGGTGGAGCTCTTGTTTTTGCAGCTGAGAATGTTTCTGGGGTTGGGGATACAGCTCAGTGGTAGAGCACTTACCTAGCAAGGGAGAAGTCCTAGGTTCAATCCCAGCACTGCCAAAAATAGTTTTCTGTCGCGTCTTTCCCAGCATTTCTCTTGGGTCTTTGCATTTGCTGCCGTAATGGGGAGGCTGAGGCCTGGGTCCCCCGGTGCCCCGGCAGCAGAGCTCATGGCGTGCCCTCATGCATTATTGAGCTGAGCTATCTGGTTGCCGGTGAACCTTACCCTGGTGTGGATGGGGCACTGGCAGTTGTCAGGGTGTAGGGGGAGGTGGGTGGCTTTATCCAGGCCGGAGAATGACTCAGCAGCAATCGATCCCACGCGCAATGCTAGGCTGCCAGGGAAACGCCAAATTTATTTTTGATGGGAGATCCTAGAAAAGGAGAGATGAGTGAAATCCTGGTAGTATACAACTCGGGGACATTTGTTTCATTAAAATGGCATCTTATAAGAGCTGTGAAAATGAAAGACTTGGTGCTGTTTGATGCTAGCGATTGACCTAAAATAAGACGATGTAAGAATTACAAACCGTCACAGAGCATCTCTCTTCAGGTCATCCCTGCACTGGAGGGGTGGTGGCCTGAGGATGGCCACCAGGCACCGAAGTCAGGGTCCCCAGAGTGGCTGGCCGAGCATGTGTGGGCCTGAGGAGCACTGGGCGATCGCAGGTTCTGTGAGGTGGAAGGCGCTGTGGGCGCTGGCAGACCCTGGGGTAGCCTGAAAGGGGGCGCCAGAACCTAAAGAGGAGGCCACACCCGGCAGACCGGTTTACCAGAAGCCCAGATGTTCACATGCAGTGGACCCTTGACTCACAAACTCAGTCTGTTCCCTGGGGCTGGTTGTAACTCAAGTCAGTCAACTGAAGGCTCAGGCTCTTCTACACAGCCTTCAAAGTCTCTCTCCTGTACACAGGCAGACCTCAGTGTCCTCAGAGGGATGTTGCCCTAGAATTTCTCAATGAACCCCACAGGAAAGGATGTTGTCACGTTGCTTCCAGAACTCTTTAAGGGTTAAATCTGTACCTGAGACCATCTGGAAGCACAAGTTGCCGACATTTGGGTCCTAATCAAGACTTTGGTCATAAGTTAAAACTAAAATTCCTGCCATAATCCAAGTTGTTCGTATGTCAGGCCGGTCGTAACAGGAGGGTCCACTGTACAGAATGGCCCGCTCGACCGTGCAGTGAATTCTTCACCACGTTATCATGTTTCCCCCACTTCCAGAATCCAGTACAGGAAGGTGCAGGTCTGAGACTTGGGGGATTAAGTGTAAGCATTAATCATCTTCAGGAACCAGGCGATCCTGGCATTTCCTGACTTCATCCCATAAGCATTTGCCGTGCCTGTTGCATGCTGGGCTGTCCCTGGACACCCCGTCCTGGTATGTGCTCATCCAGCATCTTACGCACAGGAGAGGCCCTACTGTGTGCCCTGTGTTCTTAGACTTGGCCCCAAGCAGACCCTGCATTGCACCCCCAGAGGCTGGAAGACAGAATGAGCACACAGCCTCCAGTGGGGTGCATGGGGGAGCAGAGGGGGTGAGCCCCAGACAGCACAGACCCTGGGTCCTAGGTGTGGTGCCTGGACCTGCTCAGGAGGCCCTGGAGCTGCCCTGGGCACATGCCTTGGAGGACGGGACACAGGGTGGCCTCTGGGCACTGGGAAGCCATGCAGAGGCCAGGGGAGAGGACTTGGGGTGGCCACGGGTGGGTTCCCTGTGTTGGGGGAACCGCTGTGGTCAGGGTAACTTGGATCCTGACCGGGGAGGGGAGGCAGCAATAGGAGGATGGGGGCCCGTGCTGGAGGGCGGTGTGGTGGGGCGGGGTCTTCATGGAGGTGGGTGTCTGAGCCGGCAGGACCGATGCGTTCTGAGATGCTGTTGCCAGCATCCGCCTGTGCGAGGTGGCACATGTGTGAGGTGCTAGTGGGGTGGGTGCAGGGCTGCCTAGGGTGTGGTGACATTGGGGGTGGCACTAGGGTGAGGGCGCAGGACTCTGGAGGAGGTTGGGGAGGGTTGAGGGAGATGAGGGGCAAGGAGAGGGTTGCTCTGAGACCTACGCCTGCTCGGATGGGGGGACCTCATGCTATGCGGGGGTCCCCAAGGGGAGCTGGCTTGTGGGTGTTGAGGCCTAGACTTGAGGTGCTCGAGGCAGCCAGGGGAGATGGCTCGGCTACTGGGGAGGGGAGGGGAGGGGCTGCACCTCCTCTTCTGGCTAAGCAGGATGAGGGCCTGGGTAGTCACTGAGCCGGAGGACTGTCCTCAGGGGACACTGCAGTCTCAGGGAACTGTGTTTACAGAGGCTGGAAGGTGCCATGGTTGCAATTCTGGCCCGAGCACAGGAGGCCACTGTGGTGGATTCAGCCCGTGTCCGTACAGAGTGCAGCCTCTTTGGGAACTAGGGTCTTTCCGGGTGTAGTGAGTTCCGGTGCTTGAGGTGACCTCATCGTAGACTTAGGACGGACCCCAAGTCCAGTGGCCAGTGTCTTTGTAGGAGAAAGGACAGGGGCATGGACACCCAGGCAAGACGGCCACGGAGGAGGCAGAGGCAGAGCAGGGTAGGATGCGAGGAGCCACTGCCCCGTCCTCCTGGAGCCCCCCTCGAGCTCCAACTCTGGCTGCAGAACCATGAGAGGTACGTGTCTGCAGTTCTGAGGCCTCAGTTTGTGGCCGTCTGTTGTGGCAGCCAGGACACGGATGGGCTCCTCACCAGAATGAGAGAAGGAAGCAGGCCACATCTTCAACCTCACAGAGACTTGAGGGCTCTCTGGACAGAGGGACAGGAATGCTCTCTGTTAGGCTCAGTGTGACCTTTCTGTGGGATGCGTCAAAGGCAGCCGTGGATCCGCTGTCCCTATATGGGACCCTGGGAGTGGGTTTGTCATCTTCCCTTCCGAGGTGGCCTGAGACCCGGGGGAAGCAGGTTCCTGTCCAGCCCAGCAGCATGGATGAGAGCTGTCCTCACAGCCAGGCCCTTCCTTGGGCCTTTGAGAGGAAATGCTGGGCTCTGGGACAAGCAGTGGCCCAGTGCTCGAGTGTAAGGTCCCAGGGTGCCATGTTGCGATCTGAGGCCGGGGCAGGACCAGGAAGCACTGGCTGGCAGGGTGTGGGCTGGGCCTACCTTCCACCCAGAGTCTGGGCAGAAGCCCGGCCTCCAGGCTCTAGGGCTCCCAGGAGGACATGGCAGGGTAGCTGGGGCCTCTGTACTTACAGATGGTGAGCATAGCACCCACACGTCCTCTGGTCCCCACAGAGTGACGTCGTTCTCTAGGAAGGGCTGGGCTTGGCTGCCAACCGCTAACCTGGCCCGCCGTGTGCACACTCACAGATGCCTCCTGTTTTTGAGTAGGCAGCAGAGAATCTGACAAGTCTGAAGGAAGAGAAATACATCTTAGGCTACACGCTTCAAATTAACGCAGGGAATTTACAAGGGCTGCAGACTGCCGAGCGGGAGACGGGAGCACCCACTTGTGCATAGGGGTGTGCATACTGTGTGTGTGCGTGTGTGCGCGTGCATGCGTGCCTGTGTATGTGTGTATGTCCGAGGGCATAGGTATATGTTTGAGTCTGAGCCGTGAGTGTGCGGGTGTGGGTGTGTGAACGTGTTCGCGAGGCGTCCACACACGAGACCATGGGTGTGTCCGTGTACGGGAAGGTGTGCTACAGTGCACGTGTGTGTGAGCAGATCTGTGTACAAGTGTGGCAGTGTGGGTGTGTGCTCTGCTGTATGTGTGCTGGGGAAGGCCGGGCAGCACCGGGAGAGGAGGGGACGCTCTTCCTGGTCAGAAGCTCTGCCTGTCTCTGGCGATTGTCACATGGTTTCAAGTCAGGCCCTTCTGCTCCTCAAAGACGAGGCTGCCGGAGGAGGTGCCCCCCGGGTGTCAAGAGGACCCTGAGACCTGCTGAGACTCAGCCTGAGGGCAGCCTCCCTGAAACAGAGGTTCTGCGTCGAGAGCCTCGCATGAGCCAAGCAGGGCTTGGTGGCCTGGCCGGGCCCTCAAGGACACCAGCACCCGGCCTGCTGTGCCCCCTGGGCCTAGCCCTGTGGTGACAGCACTGTTACTGCACAGGGGGCAGCGTCTGAGGCTGGGTGACCACTGGGGGGCGTCTGAGGGCAGCACCGCTGCTGTGAGCCAGTAGTACTCTAGACCCTCAGTCCCGCTGGGGTATTGGGGTCCACTGTGGTTCTTCACTGACCCCGATTTCTTTGTTTTCTATTAATCCAAATTGATGGTAAAGTCTGACATCCTCCTTACCCGACCTATTGTCTTGTACGAACCCAGGGTGGGGCAAATGTTCATACCCCACCCGGATTTGAAGCTGAAGCCTCGATTTCCAGCGCGAACTCGTTCCTAAGGGTGTGATGAAGGTTGAGTGAGGCTGTGTGGGTGAGGCCCATGGTGGGATCCGTGTCCGTCCTTCCGAGGAGAGGTAGGGAGCTGGGAGTGTGGGCCTGGGGCACTGGAGAGAGGCAGACAGAGTCCCTCCTCGGCCACTCCCCAAGGAAGCTTAACCCTCCCCACCATGGGCTGGATCAGGCTGTGGGGAAGGCCCGGTGTGTGGCGCTGCCTCCCCCAGGGGATCCATAGCAGAGGGAGAGACAGATGTGACCACAGGCGAGGCAGGGTCGGCACGAGAGACAGCAGGCACGGCAGGCTTGTAACTCAGTCTTGGACAAGCTCTGCTGTGGCCAGCAGACACCCAGAAGGGGGACTTGGAGGGCAGGAGACTTTCCTGTCTCATTCTGGGCAGCCCCATTGTGAGGGAGAGGCTGCCCGGCTCGTGGAAGGTTTGGGGCCAGATCCTGCATGTGTCCCCTCACACTCAGTGGGGGTGACCTCCCAGGGGCTGTGAGGGGAACCCCGTCCCCAGGCCACTGGCAGATGCTGCTCTTCCTTGGGTCGAGTGTGACTGCCAGGTCTGCCAAGGCCCAGGGGCAATGGAGGCTACGTGGCTTCCCTGCTTGGGAGCTGGGTCCCTTTTTTCCTCCTACAGCCAGCAGTGCAGCTCGGTGGCCCACTGGCTCCCCTGGCCTCTGTGTCACCTCTCACTTTTGTCCTCCAGGGGAGCACTGCCAGGTGAATGCCCGCTCAGGCCGCTGTGCCAATGGCGTGTGTAAGAATGGAGGCACCTGCGTGAATCTGCTCATCGGCGGTTTCCACTGTGTGTGCCCGCCGGGCGAGTTCGAGCGGCCCTACTGTGAGGTCAGCACACGGAGCTTCCCGCCCCAGTCCTTTGTCACCTTCCGAGGCCTGCGCCAGCGGTTCCACTTCACCGTCTCGCTCGCGTAAGTCCCTCGCGGGGTCGCGCAGCGTAGGTGTCCCCTGCAGGTGGCCTCTGGTGGTCGGGTGGCTCTGGGAGGTGCTGGCTGCTGCAGAGAAGTCCGGGAGCCCCAGGCGGTGTAGCGGGGCGGGGGGGGGGGGTGTGTGTGTGAGAATTTCATCCGGGACAGTGGGCAGGGAGGAAGGGAGGGCCCTTGTGTGCCTGAGGCATCTGTGGTGGCCCAGCGTTCCTGAGGGGGCCAGAGGTGTGGGGAAAGGGACCCTGAGTCGGGAGATCTCCCATGCCATCACTGGGCCATCTACCTGGCCTTCCTGTCACCACGAGGATGCGGGTGGATTGTGCGCTGTGGTTATTTCATTTTCACACTCCTCCTTCCCGGAAAATTTCCATTTAATGACATTTTTAAAATCAGCTGTAATCTCAGCACTCAGGAGGCTGAACAGGAAGATCACTGCAAGTTCGAAGCCAGCCTAGGCTATGCAGTGAGTTTAAGGCCAGACTGTGCTGCATAGCAAGACCTGTTCCAAACAAGCAGACAAAAGAAACATCCTAGTTTAGTTTAAAGACTTCCGCCTCGTGTGAGTTCACGGGACAGAGTGGATTCCTGGTCAGTGGCTTGGCGGTGCTCCAGGCGCCAGTGTCCTAGAGGAGCCCTGTCCTCTGTCCTCAGAGCGGCCACCTGCCCAGCATGGCCCCGGGTCTTCATTCTGCCCGCTGAGTGCCAAGTGCTTGCTCCACGCGGGTGCTGCTGTGGACCCCAATCTCTCTGCGTCCCCTGCGGCTTCTGTCAGCAGCCCCCACCCCCGTGGAAGGAGCCCTTGTCCCCTCACAAGCCCTCGGCAGCGTGTGACAGGCATGAGTTTGGGGTGTGTGATTGTGGCCTGTCTGTACCCGTCGCCACGGGCCCCGTGGGTGTGGCAGCCCACAGTCACGTGTGTTCCAGTGACAGTTGGTGCCACTCCGCTACAGGAGTTGACACAAAAGGTGACCGGAAATCCTGGTGCCAGAAGCTGATGAGGGAGCCGGTCACGGTGCTGGAGGCCACCAGAGGAAGTCTGCTGGCTCCCGACACAGAGAGGGCAAGTGGGACATAGTCATGCTTGCACACCTGTAATCCAGCACTCTGGGAAGCTGAGGCGGGAGGAGCAGCCTGGGTGACTCAGCAAGATCCTGCCTCAAAATTTAAAACAAACAATTAAAATGGGCTTGAGTAGTAGCTCCGTGTGAAAGCCCTGGGTTCATTCCCGAGCACTGAACGAGAATGGAAAGGTAATGCTCAGCCGTGCAGTGCAACACGATACTCTCGCTTGTCGCACCGAGTTTTCCTAGGCTTCTTTCATGTGGTAACAGTTTACAGGCCACTTCACCTGTGCCCAACTCACTTCAAAGGCCAGCCCACCACCAGTCCTCCCAGACTTTCTTGGGGGAGCCAGTGTACCCCTGGGTGATGGTTGCTGGGGGGCAGATCCTCCAGGAGCAGCTGGGGGCCCTTGCACCCCCAAACTGAGCAGGGCTGGTGGCCTGGGCCACATGGCCTTGTGTCGGTGGCTTCCTTCCCAGCCCTCTTGTCTTTCCTGTTTCTGTTTGCTGAGCGAGCGCGGGCTGCAGGGCGGGCAGGCGGTGGGCTCAGTGCCCAGCCCCGCTCGTCCCCCGCTTTGTCTTTTCCTCCTGTTCCCCTGGGCCCCTCCGGCCTCGGCTTCGGTTTCCCACCTCCCATCCCTGGGCCCGCTGTGTTCCTCTGGCCCCAGCAGTGGCGAGCGCCCCTCCTACCCGCGTCTACAGGGTGCCGTGGACCCTGGCTGCGTCCTGGAGCCTGCGCCGAGTGGGCCCGGCCTTGCTCTGGAGCCCCCTCCCCGCACACCCCATGCCTGCAGACCCAGTCTGTGTGCACGGCAGGTGCTCTGGGGTCTGTCTTCAGCCTGAGCACTGTGCTGCCGGACAGAGGCCGGGTGGAACCTGTGGATTTGTGACCTTGAGGGAAAGGACCTCAGTCAGGTGCATGAGCCCGGCTCCCACCAGCCGGATGCAGGAAGATGTCATAGGAGGGCCCCGTGATCTCTGTAATGTTCATCCGTGGAGTTCCAGCTCCTCTGGAGCGGGGGGTGTTGGGGGCGCTTGCTGTTTCAGGGTGTCTATGACAGGAGGGAGAAGGATTTCTGAGTGGCAGGAGGCCTTTGTTAGCTCAAGTGGCTCTTTAGTTTTTTGAATGCTTAAAGCTCGGGCTGCTCTGTCACATGCACGCGTTTATCAGCACGTTCTTCGCTCTGAGCTCCAGGACGCAGCAGTGAGAATGCTCCTCCCTCCCTTTGGCATCATTCTTTCTGAAGACCAAATGCAGATGCAGGATAATTTCGGAACCAAATCTAAAATGTGATGAGCTGATAGGGCAGGGCTGCAGTTTAGCTGTGGTGATCAGGGAGGTGCAGTTGTTTGGCTCCTGAGGGTCTCTCTGCACACTAGGGAAGATCGAAACTGCACAGGGAGTGGCAAGTGCAAAGGTCCTGGGGTCTTTATAATCTGTGTTTGGGAGCCAAAAGGTGCTAGTTTGGCTAGAGTGGGCTGGTGAGGACGAGGGAAGGGCCCAGAAGGTCCTTCCACACCAGTGTCTCTTACCAGCAGGTGCCATGTCCCTAGGCCCTGATGCCCATACGTGGCTATGTTTCCAGGAGGAGAATTCTTGCTTTCCAGCACATCTGTGGTTGCTTTATCTGCTGGTGTCATCCTCTCCCACCCTTGTGCAGCAGTAGTCGGTTGCATTCTATAGGTAGTTGTCATGAAAGTCCTTCAGGGCTTCCAGTTTGCTAATCAAATCAATTCCTCACGTTAAGAAAGTGCCAGGACCAGAATCTTTGCCGGGCCGAGCCGGGCCGGCCTCTGCCCTCCTTGCCGGCTGCCCCACCTCAGGCGGGCGCCCTGTGTGACCAGCTCCCACTTGCCCGCCAGGTTCTCCACACAGGAGCGGAATGCACTGCTGCTGTACAACGGCCGCTTCAACGAGAAGCACGACTTCATCGCGCTGGAGGTTGTGGGCGAGCAGGTGCAGCTCACCTTCTCGGCAGGTAGGGCCCCGCCGGTGCCGTGTACGAGCTCACCCCATCCCACCGGCCCTCTGAACCCCAGTTCTGTGCCTCGGGTCACCCCGGGGAGGAGTCCAGAGCACCCAGGGTCATTCACTGCGGTGATGTTTACAGGGCTGAAAAGGAGGACACGGCTGCTGTTTCCCAAACTGGGGGGTCACGGCCCGAAACGCGGTGTGGCTGGAGAGCGATGTTGTTTCGCCGCTGGGGTGGAGCCCAGGACCCTGTGCGTGCCAGAAAGTGCTGCACACTTGGGCCTCAGCCCCAGGGCTGAGGGTTGAAAATGTGGAAAAGACCATGGAGATCTGAGCCTGGCTGTTAGCTGACTGCTTAGCGGGTTGCAGAGGGCCTTCGGCCTCCCGTCTGTTTCCCTCCCGCTATGAGGTGTTAGCTTCTGTCGCTGGGTAAAAAGCATGCTGGGATAAACAGCATTCAGGAGGAGAGGATTGGGTCAGCTCACGGTTTTCACAGCTTTGGGTCAGGGAGAGGTGGTGCGAGACCTCCTGCAGCCAGGAGCAAAGAGCGAGAGGCGGCCAGAGATGGCCACCCAGTGAGCCCACTTTCTCCACCAGGCCCCAACTCCTAAAGGGCCACTTCCACCCAATGGCACCATGGGCCAGACACTGGGGGACACTTTTGCCCCACACTGTAGCAGGTGATTTTAGGGGTGAGTGAAGACGGCTCTCCCATTATGGGATGTTCAGCCGGGCAATGGGGAGGCTGCTGTCCCTCGGTCTGGGCCCTGTGGACCTCACGTGTATAATAGCAGCAGTCGGGCTGGGTCTCCACCTGGCATGGAGAGTGGGCAGCACCACCACACCAGCTCACCTTGCTGGGAGAGGCAGCATGGCCCTAAGATCTGAGAGGGGACGCTGCATTCCCCCTGCCTTCTTGGATGTCTCGCTGGGGATGGCGTCCCTGCTGGGACCAGACTTTGGGGACCCTGTCCGCTTGTGCATGTGGAACGCCTCTCTTCACCCTGCTGGTGCCCCAGGGCTGTGTGCCAGATCCTCGAGGGGGTTCCAGAAGTGCAGATTCCCAGGACCACCCTGGTCCACGGCAGCAGGGTCTTCTGGGGTGACTGCCGTAAGAAGCACAGGTTGGTGCACTCGGACCTTACCGTGCCACGTACTTACAGTGTTAAGGCCTTTAAAAGGCCAGGCACAGTGGTGCACACCTGTTATCCCGGCACTCTGGGAGGCTGAGGCAGGTGGATCACGAATGGGAGCCCAACCTGGGTAATTTAGCACCCTGTCTTAAAAAGAAAAAAGGCTGGAGACTTAGCTCAGTGTGAAGGCCCTGGTTCATTCTCCAGCACTGCAATAAAAATTAAATTAAGTGAAAGCAGTAAAGACCAGGGAAAGGATGTTGAGTGGACCCAGGAAGAACCGGGATCGGTGTGGGTTTTGGTGCTGGCATCCAGGTGGGCTCCATGCGCAGTGGCAAGATGCACGCCACCCTGATGAGTGTCCCTGCTTTGCACTGTTTTGCACGTTTCACAGTTAAAAAGCATGAACAGGAATTACTTTTGTAATCACAAAAAGAAAGCTGAGCAGTGGCCGTGAGGGGCTGTGCCCGGTGCTCGGGGCACCGGGGCAGGGTGGGGCGACGCTGGCCCAGCCCGGGCCTTGGTGGGCGGGGCCCATAGCTGCCTAATGGAGGGGGAGGGGCCGTCCTTCGGCACCTGCTGAGCCTCCCGCCAACTGCACCCTTGCACCTCCCTCCCACGCAGGTGAGACCACCACGACTGTGACACCGCAGGTCCCCGGGGGCGTAAGTGACGGGCGCTGGCACTCCGTGCAGGTCCAGTACTACAACAAGGTAGGCTGGCTTCTTGAGCCTCCCACCCTTGGGCAGTGCGGGGGCCCTGGCAGCTTTTCCGTCCCGGGACATTTGTACTGTGTGCTGTGGGAAGCCACCGAGGGCGAGAGGGGAACCCAGGACTCCCCTGTACCGGGCTGAGAATGGGATGTCTGCAGCTGCCGTGGCTGGAGTCGCACCTGGGGAGGATGCCAGGCCATCCTGCGAGGCCCTAGAGCCACACGGTGCCCTGGTGTCCAGGAGTCCCTGGGGAAGGGGCTTTGTGGGCCGCTTCTCCTTGTGGTTTATCTGCCTCTAAGGAAGTGAGCTCCGAGTTTGGCATTGAGAGGCCCTGCTTCCCGGGCTGTGACCTCAAAAGCCCTCCTGTGTCCCCGCCAGGGCAGCTAAGGGCATGAGCGAGTCAGCAAGGGGCTCTGAGGAGCCCACTTGAGCCGGGACATCAGGCTGTGTCCCTCAGAGGCGGGCCGCCCTCCCGCCAGCAGGGCACGTGTGGTCTGGGGGCTGTGCGAGGGTGGGCTGTGGGCGTCACTTCACACACCCAGCAGCGTGGCCCGCCGGAGACACGGGGCACACGCAGAATGGGCGAGGGTCCAGGCCAGGTCTGCATAGAGGAGGGGAGACGGGCACTGCTGAGCTTTGGGGCTAATGGCTTTGTATGGGGGGCCTGTCCTGCATTGCGTCCCTGGCCACCAGCTGCTACGTGCCAACCATAGTGCATCAGAATATCTCTCGTCACTGCCAGGTATCCCCTGAGGGAGGATTGTCCCCACAGAACGTGGGGAGGAGCGGTAGGTCAGCTGGGGGAATTGGGGTGACCTGGGGTGCAGGCCAGAGCGGCATGGTTGACTTCAGGGGCGCCTGACCTGGAGACGCCGCTCTCTGTGGCTGTGACAGCTGCTGAAGGAGACCACAGCGCCCCTCACGTGGGGCTGCCAGAGGGGTCTTGGCCACCCTGGCTAGGGTTCACATCCTCTGCTGACCTCCAGGCCTGAGCTGCACATGAACCCCCAGATCATGCTCCCCCTGCACCCCACCTGCCCCTCACCCTGTTCATTCTTTCATCAGATGTTCACAGACTGTGCTGCATATGCACCAGAAAAGAATTAAAAACCCCTCACCCTCTGGGGCTCATGTTTCCAGGGCAGGGAGGGCGGGGGGGGGGAACCCTCGGGGGCTCATGTTTCCAGGGCAGGGAGGGCGGGGGGGGGGTCAGTCCTCACACATGGTGCCTTCTGGCTGTCCTCACCTGGTGGGGGACACGGAAGGAGCTGAGGGGACAGACTCGAAGGGAGCACACCCCTGCCCATCCCCAGCCTCCAGGGTGGAGCACAGACTGCGTTTGGCAGGAGCCATGACTTTCCCTGCAGTGCTGGGCTGTGCAGCGGTAGAGGCATTGTAGAGGCCCTTTGGGCAGCAGTGTGGTGCACAGTTGGGAGGAGAGGCAGGAAACAAGGTGGATGAGTGCTCTCCTCCCCTCTGGCACTGGGGATCAATCCAGAGCCTTTGAACTGAGCTGTATTCCCAGCCTTCTTTTAACTTTTTATTTTGAGGCAGGGTTTCTCTAGAACTGGGATTCCTCCTGCCCCAGCCTCCCAGTTTTCTGGGATTACAGACACATGCTGCCCTGTCTGGCTGTATTAATATTCCTTTGTTGTCACCGCCTGTGCCATTTCCCGGGTTCCTGTGTGACAGCAGGAGCCCGCTGGCTCCTGTGCCTATGAGTCATATGTTAAAATTTTTTCTATTTTGACAAATCGTATTTGAAGAGTATGCAAGGTAGTGCCGGTAAACTTTTACGAAGGTCTTTAAGCTTTACCAAGTGCTTTTCCACCAAGACAGTATCGAGGAGCTTGCTACCTCACCCCACTTTGCAGGAGCTGTCTCAGCACTTCTGCCTGGCCAACAGAGGGGTGCAGGCTGGCCAGTCCATTTAAGATGCGTGCTGGGTTCGAGAGTCCGAGGACTGTGTCACAGTAGAAGCTCTGGAGACCCCCGAGGCACAGCAGCAGTCCGGAGTGAACTAGCATTTCTTTTCAGCGGTGTTTCCTGGCCTCATGCCCGTCCTGCTGGCCCACGAGGTGTCCTGTACCTACTGGGTATCTGCTTCCTTGTGGGCTGCATTCTCCGGCTCCCTCGGGTCCCCAGGGCGATGTTTGAAACTTATCCTACATCTCGGGCTTGGAATGCTAAATGCCTCCTTGAAGCCAAGGGGCAGGTAATAAAAGCCCACAGAGGGGCCTGGGGGGCCAGTGAGCCCGGGAGAGAGGCGATGCTGTGCCCGCTGCGCAGAGCCGTGGCCAGACCCCCCCGCCCCACTGGAGGGTAAGTGGCCTGGTCTCCTTCCCTAAACACGGTCTCATGGGCTGGTTGAAAGCCACCTGCCAGGGAAACCTGACGGCACCCCTGGAAGCAATGGTCCCGCCAAGCCGCGGGCCTCGGTGTCTGGTGACCGGCTGTGGGAAGTCCCCAGGCTGAGGTCCCTCTGTTAGGGACTTCTGTCGGGTGGGGGCTGACTGAGCCCTCCACCTGTTGTCCGTCCCCGATTCCCAGCCCAACCTCCATCCCCTCGCCGATTCCTCCTGGCACCTGTGGAGGGTGTGTGTGCGTCAGCTCACCTGACCCTCGCACCCTGGGAGGGGACAGTGAGGAAACTGAGGCACGGGGCAGGCGGTGGAGACACGGTTAGACCTGGCCGTTGCCCGTGTCCCTCACCCACTGTTCGCCAGGGTCCAGGTGTCTCGTCTCAGGGGACAGGAGTGGGCAGGTCCCGGGTGTCTCTGAGGACAGAGGGACTCTCAGGTCCTATAGCAGGAGCGACCAGGGCTTTGTCGGAGGCCCTATGAGTAAGAGTGTGCAAGATTCCGTGCCCGTGTGCAAAGTGTGGGCGTCCCACGGTGTGTGAACGTTCCCCTGAGGGCGAGGGTGAATCTCCAGGTGCACGGGTGAGAGTGAGTGTGTGAGTGTGCGTACGTCCATGAGTTGGAGCAAGGGTCAGTGTACGAGTGTGCGCCAGCTAGTGTGTGCTTCCCAGTGAGTGTGCACACCGAGTGTGAGTGTGCACGAGGGTGAATCCAGGTGCACGGGTGAGAGTGAGTGTGTGAGTGTGCGTACGTCCATGAGTTGGAGCAAGGGTCACTGTACGAGTGTGCGCCAGCTAGTGTGTGCTTCCCAGTGAGTGTGCACACCGAGTGTGAGTGTGCGGGTTCCCATCCGCCTCTCCCAGGCCCCGGGGCAGTGTTTTGAAAGATGAGCCGTGTGCTGTGCGTCCTCGTCCCCAAGCTCCGTCCGCCTTTCTGGGCACTCGGCCTCCAGGTTTGTGGGTGACTCAGGGCCCACCCAAGAGCCCAGCGCCACATGGTGGCGGCCCGTGGGCTGGAGCCCCTGCCCGAGGGTCCCCAACTGGCTATGTCTGCATGGCCCCCTGAAGGAGCAGCCTTGGCTCCCCAAGAAGGCGCTGCCTGTAGCCTCAGGGGCCCTCGGTTTCAGCCCTCATTTGTCGGGGGAGAGAAGGACCTCTCTCCTGGGGTGGCCACCAGCCAGTGACCTGGTGTTTGGGCCCAGCGGTGTCCCAGGAGGCTCCCAGAGCCGGTCCCGAGGATGGATGAGTCCACTCCGCCATCGCCGTCCGTCTGCACCTCGCCGCGAGTGTGAGGTGTGGGTGTGGCCCCTTGCACACATTCCCGGGGTGCAGCCACCTGTGTGTGCCGTGAGGGCAGCATCGCTTAATCACGGCTGACACTGAGCGCGAATCCATTCCCGTCCTGGCCTCGCCTCCCGGGTCCGGTTTCCCGGGTGCTCCATGCGCCGCCCCCACGCTGTAATCCGACCCCAGGGCCCTGGATGCAGGATTGTTGGCAGCAGCAGGTTGAAGGCTGCAGAAACGTGAGCGCTAGTGAGGACCAAAGGCTTTTGTGCACACACAAAAACTCGTCCACCCCGCGAAGCTGGCCAGGAGGGAGGGACACTGGGAAGATGACGCCGGCCAAGCCGGGCCTCTGCATCGGGAATCCTGGGCTTGGAGGGTTTGCAAGCTGGGCCCTTAGGAGCACTCGTTGGGCTCTCAGGATTGCCCAGGCAGAGGAGGGATGTGGGGCGGCCTGTGTGTGGGGCGCAGACGTACGGGGTCACAAGGGTCACTTCCGCGTGCTCCGCTGAGGAACTGGGCCTCCGGTGCACGTGTGTTGTGCCAGCTTTGCCTGTGTCCAGCCCTGGCCACCTGCGACTGCCCTGTCCCTGGGATGAGGCCTGGGAGTCCTCAGCCTCCTTGGGGGAGGCTGGTGCAGGAGGTGGGGACTCCAGGCCCTGCCCATCTGGCCTGCACTCCTCCCTTCAGGCAGGAACTGGGAAGCAGAGACCTCGGTGCCGCCCCAGCCCTTTGACTCAGGCCTCAGCGCAGCCAGCCCTCCCAGCGTCTTTCCCTTCAGCTTCTCATTCTGCCTGCAGCCTTCCAGCTGCCACATAGTTTATCTTCTCAAAAAAACAAAAAACAAAAAACAAAAAAAAAACTTATTTTTGTCTTCACCAGGAGAAAGAAAGCTGAATATTTGATTAGTCAAATGTGTCCTTTTCTTTTTCCCTTCCTTTCTTTTTCTTTCTGTCTGTCTTCGTTGTACTGATTGCTTAGCTGGGCTCAAACTTGTGATCCTCTGGCCTCAGCCTCCCAGGTACGCACCACCATATCTGGCCGCTCTGCTCCTTTTTAGGGCTGAGTAGTACTCCACCGTGTGGATAAACCAACCTCCCATGGCACATCAGTGGGTATTTAAGTTGCTTCCACCATTGCAATCCACTGAATTGCAAGCCTGTGTGAAACGGCTTCAGGCCCTTGGGCCTGGGTCCTCTGGCCTCTCTGCACCTGTGCTCCTTCCTGCTCCTGACCCCGAGGCCTGGGCTGTCAGGGGTGGCTGATCACCGTGCACAGGCCTCCCCTCCCTAGAAGTATAAATTACAGCCTCGGAGATAATTCAGGTCCCGCTCAGGCAGGCTCTTCTGTCTCCAGGGCCGTACCTGGCATTTCAGGACCCCTAATGAGCACTTGCACCCCCGTTCCACAGCAGCCTGCAGTTACAGGGAGAGAGCAGGGGCTTCACACTCTCCTGACCCGCTGCCACAGAACATAAAAGTGCATCTCCATGGAAAGCGCCTCGCAGGCGGTGATCTCATCCAGGATGTTACGACCATGACCCAGGGTGCCTGGTGTGCTGAAAGCCTCCCTTGTCTCTACATAAGGCGAGCTTGCACGGCGCCCAGCTGTCCTCTGTTGACATCATCCCAAAGTCCCTGTGACACAGAGAGGACAGGTTTTCTAATATTAGATCCTTGTCCTGTTCATGGAAGAGCCAAGGTGCAGCAGTGGGTCTCACGGAAGCCAGTGTTGCCTGACGGAAAGAGGAAGGCTCAGCTGGGGTGGTCATGTACAGCTGTGCAGGCTGTGCACTGCACCAATTCAAAGGATGTTGCTTGGGTGGATAGGGCTCCTGGAGTTGCACAGCTCAGCCACTTGGTTGAGCTCCTATTAACAGCAGCTCCAAGTCCTGCCTGCCTTCCTACCCATAGTCCTCAATAAAACGGATGCTTTGTTCCTTTAGAAAAAAAAAATTCAGAGTGAAAAAAAATAAGATTTCTTTTTGAATGAATTATGTAGTCATTCCCCGATCAAAAGGCAGTGAGGATGCTCTCATTGCATTCATAGAAGTTTCCGATAGTATCATACGCAGGCTTGAGACTGTCATGTTATACACTTAGATTGACCCAGAGCTGGCAAGAAACACTGGGCCCACAGGGCTTTTTGTTTGGTGTGTTTGTTTTTTCAGACAGGGTCTTGCTGTGCTCCCAGGCAGGCCGTGCACTCCTGGGCCCCACACACCGCTGTCCTGGCTGGGTCCGTTGTCTTTAGGACGAGGCGGGGACACTGTGGGGCATCCATGGGGCCACCAGGCTGGCAGGGCTTGGGAGCCCTGTGGGGTGAAGAGGTGAACTCAACCCCACACAGCCGCTGTGCCCCATGGCCTCTGGGTCACGGCCTCTCCCAGGTGGGCAGAGACCCTGCAGGGCTGCACTGCAGCAGCTGGAAGAACTGGATGTCCGGGGGACATGCGTGAGGTCCCGGGAGGGTCAGTGGGCCTGGGTGAGGGCGTCCCCACCTGGAGGAAGCGGATGTGCAGGATGCGGAAGACGCCCAGGAGACCGCAGGGACCACAGGCTTGTGGGGAGGTGGGCTTGGTCAGGCGTACAGAGGAGTCGACTGTGGGCCAGTGGAGGGGACAGGTGGAGGGACTGCGACACCTAGGGAGCGACCAGAGCTGCGTGCTGTGTGGGGCACGGGCAGTGTCTGGGCTGGGAGCAGTGTCCTGGCGTCCGTGCCTGGACTGCACCGCGTGGGACCCTGGAGCGGGGCCCTGGGCCAGGACACAGCCCTGGAACAGCAGAGGGGCCCTCGGGAGGGACCCAGGCTGTGTCTGTGTCCTGGAGTCCTGGTGACGAAGTGTCCCCTTGACGCGTGGGGGCTCCTTGCCTTCTCTGCTGTCGCCGGTGGCCTTGGACTTGCAGACGGTCCCGCCTGCCTCAAGGGCTCTGGCGACCTCCTCCTCGCGTGACCCACGGAAGCTTCCTTTACTCGTGGCCACACCTCTGTCCCTAGCCAAGTCCCACTGTCCAGGGTCCCACTGCTTGAGGTCATGAGGGGGTACCAGGCAGGTGGCTGATTCCTTTCATCCCTCTTCCCCAAGCCCAACATCGGCCGCCTGGGCCTGCCCCACGGGCCGTCAGGGGAGAAGGTGGCCGTGGTGACCGTGGACGACTGTGACACCGCCATGGCCGTGCACTTCGGCAGCTACGTCGGGAACTACAGCTGTGCTGCCCAGGGCACCCAGAGCGGCTCCAAGAAGTGAGTGTCCCGGGGGCCAAGGGCTCTCGTCTGCTGTGGCCTCGTCTGCAGATGTGAGGTTGCTTTTGTCGGGTGGCGCGGGGCACCTCCCTCTGAGGCGTTAGAACTTTCTAGGACAGTCCCCTGAGAGTCTGTCTGAGTGGCAGGGCAGCCCCAGGCCGTGTGACGGTGGCCTGGTGACCTGGAGACCGTCCCGGCCCTGTCTCTGAGGGCTTCATCCGGTAAGCATGGTCCTCGGGCCATGGGCTGCGTGAGCAGAAGTGACCGTCTCTGCGCTGGGCCCCGCGGTCCCCTGGGGTTGTCCTGACTCAGGGACAGAGGAGTCCCGGTGAGGAGACGCACAGCCGTTGGCAGTTTTCTTCTTTGGTGACGCCAGCCGGAGAAGGCGTGCATGACCACTGCACTTGGCACAGGCCGGGGGACACAGGGGGCGAACCCCAGTGTCAGTGTGCGGCTGCGGGCTGGGGGCAGTCACCACCTTCTGCTCGGTACTCCTGACGTCCCCCTTCCCAAGGGCCTCGGGAGTGGGCCAGGCGGAGCCCTGGCAGTGACTCCTTTGCCGGCCCCCTTCCATCTGAGGAGGGGATGTGCGGGCTGGGTGGGCGCTGGGGCAGCCGTTTGTCAGAATGTGGGGTGATTTGGAAACTGAGGCACAAGGAGACCATGAAGAGCCAGAAGTGCCATCCATGATGGCAGCGTCTGTCCCTGGTGGCAGAAGCTGCTCCTCTCTGCCCGGACACCTCACAGAACAGCTTGGCCTCCCCAGGTCCCTGGATCTGACGGGGCCCCTGCTCCTGGGCGGCGTCCCCAACCTGCCGGAAGACTTCCCCGTGCGCAACCGGCAGTTTGTGGGTTGCATGCGCGACCTGTCCATTGACGGCCAGAACGTGGACATGGCCAGCTTCATTGCCAACAACGGCACCAGGGCAGGTGTGTGCAGCGGGGGTGCTCTTCCATGTCCCTGCGGGGGGACATCCTGTGCTGGGCAGGGGACACTGGGGCTGCCCGGGGCCTTGACCTCACACATGGGTGCGGTGTGCGCTGAGGCCTCCCCGCTCTGCCTCGCCAGGCTGCTCTGCCCAGAGGGACTTCTGCGGGGGTGCCGTGTGCCAGCACGGGGGCACCTGTGTGAACCGGTGGAACTCCTACCTGTGCCGCTGCCCGCTGCGCTTCGGGGGCAGGAGCTGTGAGCAAGGTGAGGCCTGGCCGTCTCCTGTGCCCACCTGGCCTGGGGGCCACACACGGAATGAGCTGGGTGGAGGCCGGGGTCCAAGGACTGGGGTGGCTCAGGTGGCACCAGGCTCGTGAGTGGTCCCCGGCCCTCCCCTCCCGAGGACGCCCTCTGGCTGGCTGCTCACCGACTGCGTGTAACAGATGGGCAGCTCTTCTCCATCGCCCTGCGTCTTGGGCTGTCATAGATGGGTTTTTAGCAGCCAGCTCAGTTTGAAACCACACAATACTAAGTTGAATCCAATGCCTTTGCACTAAGCTACATCCTCAACCCTTTTTATAAACTAAAAAAACATTTAACACAGGGTCTCGCTAACTCACAAAGTTTCCAGGCTGGGCTTGAGTTGTGATCCTCCTGCCTCCGCCTCCCAGAGCTCTGAGATGACAGGCTTACATGCTTGGCGAGCCTCTTCATTTTTAAAATCACCGGGAACACTCTTTGTTTAAAAGTGGGGCAGTTAGGCCAGGTCCACTTGGACTTGCCCAAGATCCCACTTGGAACATTCTCAGAGCTCCTGGGCGAGGCTCTGAGAAGGAGAGCACTGAAAGGCACCCACCAGCCTTAGCCCGCAGGGTACAAGATGGCACCTGTCCCCGTCCTGGGGCCCCGCCCAGGCAGAGCTGGCCAGCTGCTCCGTACCCCATTTCACCTCAGCCTGTGCACCCGCGGGGCCATGCACCTATGTCTGTTTTGGGGGACCGAAGGGACCCAGGGCCTGCCCTAGATTCCCAGGAGAAAGTCGCTGGAACCACAGTGGCACGCTCTTGGGGAGCACGCAGTTCAGTCCAGCAGGGCGGGTGAGTGGCGGCAGCATGCGGCTGGCATCCTTAGCTACCCTGAACCTGGCTGGCACACACTGGCTTGAGTCACGCCCTCGCCTTATCTGGCAGACAGGAGCATCTTCCTGCGCAGGGCCCTGCAGGTGGGGTCAGGGCCCCGCCCAGTGCCTGTTGCTCAGGTTGCTGGCAGCAGTGACTCTGGGTGTGGCCAACCCAGCAAGCCCTGTGTTGCAGCCCTCAAGGTCTCTGTAAAGGCTGTGCAGGGCCACGTGATGGGCAGGCCCAGTCAAGGCGAGGGCAGTAGGTGCCAGCACAGTGTGTTTCCAAGATGAGGCTCTTGTCCCCCCATCCCCTCTCCATCTGGGGATCTCCCTGCTCATCTCCAGGAGCAGAAGAACAGCAGCCTATGTGCAGGGCTGGAAACCCACCTGGGCCCCACAGCAGGTCACACTGCAGGCCAGCGTCTGTGCCCCTGGCCGTGTGTGCCACCCCGATTACAGGTGTATGCTGTCCTCATCAAGGGACTGTCGTGCACGGAGTCCTGCTCCCTTCCCCAGTCCTTGGCCACAGCCCGGCCAGTGTGGGGTGAGACAGGAAGACCAGGCTTACAGGCCCGTACCTAAAGCCGTCTGCCCCTTGGCACACTTGGCGAGGTGTGAACCTCGGGCCCAGCCTCTGCCCTGGCGGTGGTGCTCTCTGTGGTCCGTATCTGCAGAGCTTTTCCAGGATTCAGGAGACCAGGTTAGAACAGCCACAGACGGAGACTGGCCTGTGTGTTAAAACGGCTTGGGATCCACTCCAGTCCTGTCCCATTCCCTCAGCTGGAAAGCGTGCTCAGAGGTCCCCTAGTATAGGGGAGAGTCCTGAGGTCCCCACCTTTGCCTGCAGCTATGCCCCACCCCCAGCGCTTCAGTGGCGAGAGCATCGTGTCCTGGAGCGACCTGGACATCACCATCTCTGTGCCCTGGTACCTGGGGCTCATGTTCCGGACCCGGAAGGAAGACGGTGTGCTCATGGAGGCCACCGCTGGTGTGTCGTCGAGGCTCCATCTTCAGGTGAGCAAGGCCTCCTGCCGCCTGCGAGCCTGCAGGGCGGGCAGCGTGCAGGAGACGGATAGGCGTGGGGTTTCCCGGGACATGGCCCAGGGACGGCGGCTGCTCGCCCTGCCTCCTCCTCCCGCCCCTGGCTTCACCAGTGGAAACGTGAGCGGCTTTCTCTGGCCCAGGTGTGCGGGGATCGATTCCCACCGGGAGTTCCTCTCCACGCCTCTTCCCTTCCCTTCCTGATGGCCAAGAGAGGGCACACGGTGCCCAGGTGATCCTGGCAACAGCTCTGGCCGGAGTGGGCTGAGAGCGGGAGCACAGGCCTCTGTGGACCCTGCGTGGCCCTGACCCGTCCACCGCAGACAGGAGGCACCAAGGACCCGTGTGCACCCGCATGTGTGCTCTCTCGCGCTCTGTGGCCCTCTCCGCCTTGTTCCTTGAGATGATGGCAGCGGTCCCTAAACACTTCGGAGTTTATTTTCGTGCACCCCATTTTCCAGTCCTTCACGTCACAAATGGTTTCCGCTTAGGTCTTCCAGGCTCCAGCGAGATCCGTTGAGAAAGAGTGAGGAGTTGTTTTCCTTGGTGGAAAAGGCCTCGGCCTCCCCTGTCACTGCCGCTGCCCTTGCCTCTGCCCTTGAGGAGGCTGTGGGGTGCTCTAGGTTGCAGGGACTCCACACATGCGGGTCTCAGGGCACCCCGAGTGTTCCCATGAGGTGCCAGCCCGGGTCTGTAGCCAGAGGCCTCACATCTCTGGGCCGTTTCCGTCTGCAGTGACCTCGGGGACAGGTGTCGTCCTGGACAGAGGCGCTCTCTGGTCTGGTTCTCTGCTGACTTGGGACGGCCCGGGGGAATCGTGCCTGAGCCCGTGCTGGGTGCGCCAACCCCGTGTGAAGAAATCCATAACTGGGTTCCTTGTTTCTTTCTCTCTTCTAGGCTTTTGTCAAGTATGTACACGTGTGTCTCTCTGTGTCTGCATGCGCGTGTGCACGTCTGCAGGTGTGTTCCTGCGCATGTCTCTGTAGGCGTGGGTGCACGGCTGTGGGTGCCTGTCTGTGCATGCACGTACATCTGGTGCACACGCCCGTGTGAATGCGCGCATGGATGGGATGAGACCCCTGTGCATGTGGCCTGGGTGTGGCCCTGACCTTTCCGCAGGTCATTAATGACTCCAGCCAGTGGGACCCTAGCTTTCCCCTCCCCCAGCCACTGCCCCTAGATCAGCCTCGGCGTCACCACCCCAAGATCACCACTCTGGGTGACTGCTCTATCAGGATGTCTCTTCTGAACTGGCACTGGTCACCCCCACTGTCCCTGCATGTGGCTCGTTTCTCCCTCTTCCTGGGCCCTGGTACCCTTGTTGGTCTCCATCCCCAGTTGAAGGCTGTGGCGGGGTGGGAGGTGGTCAGAGGTGAGACAGATCTTAAAGGGCGTTCGTAGGGAGCTCCCAATCAACATGGGGATGTCAATGCCTGCAGACTGCAGCCCAGGCCCTAGTTTTCTGAATTCCTGGGTTCCAGGCATAGCCACGGTACCCCTCCCATCACGCCTTGGACAGGTCGTCTAGTTGCATTCCTGTGACAGGGCTTGGGGAGAGGAGAAGGTGGGTGCCTGGGCCCTCCCTGCCGATCCATGTCGTGGGTCAGAGGACGGGAACCCATGCAGGTCACCAGCATGGACGGGGTGGGCAGGTGGGCCCAGGGCCCAGACGGGACCACCTCCGCTCACTCACCTGACCCTGGCCCTGGTCACTGCTCTGCGTGGTTCCCAGCCCCACCCAGCCCGTCTGGACAGTGCAAGGTGTACATGGGGTGGGGAGTGCAGCCTCGTGTCCCTCACCTGCTGGAATGTCACACAGCCCTCTGGGCCCAGATGTGGAAGCCATTCTGCCTGGGGATGGCGTTTTCTCTGTTGGAACAAATTAAGTTGGCCGTTTACCATTCGAGGAAGGGATTGGAGCTCGCCAGTTGTCATCTGGCCATGGCATCTCTGCAGGAAAAGAGTGCTCGGCCAGCCCGGGCTGACTGAGCGGTGACATTGCTGTAACTCATCCAGGAAGTGAGAGGCTGTGCTGTCCCTCCCTGTGCAAGGCTGGATAGCAGAGCGGCAGCCCTGAGGGCCCCTACAGACCCTGGCGGGCACTGACAAGGTGGCCTGGGATGGTTCCCATAGGTGGTCTGCCAGGCCTTGTGGGAACATTCTGGGTGACTTCTACCAGCCCCGTGAGCACCACTGTATGGCAGCCCCCCTTGCACCCTTCGGCAGGCTGGGCGAGGCCACGTCATTCCCCGGCCCGGACACTTTGGGTAATTGCTCTCAGGCACCCAGAGCCAGCTGCATTGTGGATCGGGATAACCCTGCTATTGTCAGCTGCATCTCCTAAATCCAGGGACAGATCCCAGATGGGAGCAGCTGCCGCCCCAGGTCCTGGGGCATATGCTATACATAGCACTTGTGTGGAAACATAATGTCGTTTTTATTGTTGATCTAATGGTTTCCGAGTTTTTTTGGCAAGGACAGTGAAAGAGAATGGCAAGGGAAACTCCTATAGAACAAAAGGAAACAAACTACAGAAAGGTGAAAAAACCTATCTTCTGAAATTGGCTGTCAAAGGAGACCAGAAACTCAAAATACATTCAGTGGAAAATGTCGTGCTTTTTTCCACCACGGATTCATCCGAGACCTATGGTTTTTATCTGAGTTAGCAAGCATGAAGCATTTTCTAGTAAGTCATTTTGACTTGCATAATTGCAGGTCAGAGGACTCGAAGGATATGTTTCCGACTTTTGAAATACGTTAGGACTTGCTTTACAGCCCAGACCTAGTCAGCGTTTCTGAATGCTCTGCTGTATGGGGGAAGAATGTGTGGGCTGCAGGGGTTACGCATAGAGCTGCATGAGTGTCTAGGAGGCGAAGTTCACTAACTGTGGAGTTCAAATATTCTTTTTTCCCCAGTTACTGAAGAAGTGAATTCAAATCTGCAATTTCAGTCTGGGCATGGTGATGTGCACTTGTAATCCCAGCCGTCTGGGAGGCTGAAGCAGGAGGGTCGTAAGTTTGAGGCCAGCCTGGGCAATGTAATAATTTAGAGAGACCCTTAGCAATTTAAGGAGACCTAGTCTTACAAGAAAAACAAAAATAAGAAAAGAACGTCCGACTTTGATTATAGACCTAGCTCTTCTTTTGGAAATCTGTTTTCACTTTATGAATTTTGAGGCTATGTTATGAAGTGCATTTGAATTTAGAATTGCTTTATCTTCCTGGGTACTTGGCTCTGTTATCGTTATGAAAGTCCTCTTTATCTGTAATAATGATGCATGCTTTAAGTTCACTGTCTCATTTTAATGTAGCTACGCCAGCTTTCTTTCTGTTGGTGCTTACATAGTACTGTTTTTTTGGTACTGGGGGTCGAACTTGGCCCCTTGCACTTGCGAGGCAGGCAGTGGAACAACTGAGCTAAATCCCCGGACCCTAATGTATCTTTTTTATCCTTTTGCGTTCAGCATTTTCTATATTCTTGTATTTTGTGTGGCTCTTTTAAGCGTTATGTTAACAGTTTTACTTTTTTATTTTTGCCTACCTTTTTATGGAAGTTATCTTTAGATACAACTATCTTGACTATCTTGGGTGAGTTATGTTGTTTTGATTCTTCTTACTTAGGTGTAAACATAGAGGCTTTATCCTTAGCTCCTAAAGTGTGACGCTCGTACCCAGAGTGAGAGTGTAACAATCGCTTGGATGTTTCCAGAGTTCTGTGGTTCCCATTGCTCATCCTCAGTGCAAGTTTGATTTCACTGTTTGGATCCCCCACGGGGTCGGCCTCCCTCGTTTCTCTTGATTTCTGTGCACACTCTTGTGTCCCCTTGCACACGTGGTTATTTATTTATTTATTTAGTACCAGGGATCAAACTCAGGACCTTGCACTTTTGAGGCAGGTGGTGGCACCGCTGAGCTAAATTCCTAGCCCTCCACTTGTTTTTATTGAGTGCTGGATATTATACTGAAAAACCGAGCAAGCACTGGAAACTAGGTGTCATCCTCCACACTTGCTATCCCAGTAGCTAGGGGAACTTGCCACCCCCCAAACATGCCGTACAGTGAGGTGCATCGGAGTTGGGCATCTACCCTATGGAATGCTGGTCTGTTTCTCGCATAGCCCTTGGGGTACCCAGAGCTGACTGGATGCTGGAGAAGCCCGTCCAGTGCCCGTGCCAGGCCCTGGAGAGCCCTGCTTAGCGTTGCAGCCCCGCTGTGCCCTCCAGAACCAGCTGGTGATGGGGGAAGTGACAGCATCTTCCCTTCTGGGGTTCTGATTCCTCTCGGGCTGTGATACTGTGCCTGGAGTTCCTCTGGTTCTGCAAGCATCAGGGCTTGTATTATTGCCTCGGGGCTCTCTGGGGGAGGCTGGTCCAGGTCACCTGGTGCTCCGCTAGGGCGTGTAGGATCTGGGTGTCTCACAGGACACTGTCTGCGATGCTGACTTGTGTTTTTTCAGGTGTGTTACACATGGTGGATTGGATCTCAGCAGACTGCGACTTGGCCTGATTTTTAAGTCTGTCTTTTACCCAGCACCATGTCAGAGGCCTGTCCATGTGGCTGCGTCGTCTAAGCACCTGCACAGGATTTTGTTCTGTGGTCCTTGCACCAATCAGTAAGCGTCTCCTTGCCCTGCAGATCTTGAACAGCTACGTCCAGTTTGAGGTGTCCCACGGCCCCTCCGACGTGGCATCCGTGCAGCTGTCCAGGTCCCGTGTGTCCGACGGGGAGTGGCACCACCTGCTGATAGAGCTGAAGAGTGCCAAGGAGGGCAAGGACATCAAGTACCTGGCAGCCATGACCCTGGACTACGGGATGGACCAGGTGAGCGGGCGCTGATGCCCTCCCAGGAGCAGCCCCCTTCATCGAGCCATGGCACAGCAGGGAGACGTGCAGAGTCCACGAGGGCTGGGGGACGCTGTCTGGTCCACGTGACGCTGAGGTCACTGGCCTCTGTTTCGCATCCCCATCTAGGTGCTCAGTTCTACAGTTGGAACTGGATTGGATGCCACCGTCTGTGTTCCCCATCCTGGTGCCGTGGGCACCTTCGGCTGGGGCTGCTTATAGCAAAGCTGGCTCAAGGGGCAGCTGAGTGCTGGGGGCGGTCTCTAGGGAGCAGAGGGAAACAGGACTGCCCCTGAGTGGTGGGCGGCGGGTACAGCAGGGCTACAGTACGCCCTGGGCCTGGAGGGGCTGTGGGACACAGAGGCGCACCAGTCCCTGGGGGCAGTGGCTCTAGATGTGCTCTGAGCGCCCGCCAAGCTAACCCAGTGAGGTGTGGCAGTTCGCCAGCTGCACACGGTTAGAGGACGCCTTAAACTCCTGAAGGGAGCGTGCACAGTCCTCGGCTGGAGCCTAGGGCGCCCCCACCCCAGAGCCTCCCTTCTTTGCAGAACACTGTGCAGATTGGGAATCAGCTTCCGGGGCTGAAGATGCGGAGTGTGGTCGTCGGGGGCTTGTCTGAGGACAAGGTGTCCGTGCACCGTGGGTTTCGGGGTTGCATGCAGGTACTGTATTCGGCCACCAGCCCAACAGCGGATTAAGTCCCAGCAAACACATTGGTCCCCAGGCCCAGGTCGGCCCCTGCCTCTCAGCCTGGTCCCACTAAACGAGTCCTGTGCTTGTCCCCATTGGGGTCCCAGCAGCTTCCAAGGGAGCTGTTCAGAGTGCCTTCGCACATGGCCTCCTGCAGCGGGGAACGGACCCCCAGGGGTCTGGCCCGAAGGCTTCTGAGCCCAGCTGGTGTCCCCAGGGCTTCCGGGGTGAGAGTCGCCCCTCCGGTCCCAGCTTGCAAAGTGCCTCACAAGGGCCGGAGAGGAGCCGGGGTCCCCTTAATTCCCATTTGCCTGACCTGGGACTGAGCCCTGCCAACCCTTTGCCAACTCAGGGAGTGAGGATGGGTGAGACGTCCACCAACATCGCCACCCTGCGCATGAAGGACGCTCTCAAGGTCAGGGTGAAGGACGGCTGTGACATGGAAGACCCTTGCGCCTCCAGCCCCTGTCCGCAGCACAGCCGCTGCAGAGACACCTGGGATGGCTACTCCTGTGACTGTGACAAAGGTGCGACCTGTCCCTGACGCCCTGTGTGTGGAGCCTCCTCCTAAGCACACTGTGGACCTGTCTTTGTTTAGAGCCTGGGGACGATGTTCCGTGAGGGCATGTGATGCCATGAATGAAAACCTGGCCAAAAAAAAAGCTTGTTCTTAAAATCACACTCACGGAACATCTCTCAATTTGGGGGCACTGAAGTCATCCTCAGCAGGTGCCTGCTTCTTGCATGTCCTGGGGTGGCTGAGATCACTGTCCCCACAGCTGCCACCCTCCCGGGGCAGCCAACCAGGAGCTGGGAAGGTGGTGTGGGGAGGCCACAGCTCGCCAGAGGGCCCTGCGCACATCGGAGACACAGTTCCTGTCCCCACAGGGTTCTTTGGACTCAGGTGTGTGGATGCCTGCCAGGTGAATCCGTGCAAGCACTTGGCCACCTGTGAGCACACATCCAGCTCCCCTCACGGCTACGTGTGCAAGTGTGAGGTGGGGCACTACGGCCAGTACTGTGAGAACAGGTGGGCACACGCGGGGCCACAAACCTCCAGAGTCCCTCCCTTCCCCTGCCTGGCAGTGGGACAGAATTCTAAGGGTCCTGGTGGCGGGGACTGGGTTGGAAGCTGGGAGGGGGAAACTGAGGCCGGGAAGAAGGGAGGCGATGTTTCGCTGGCCTCCCCAGGCACCTCCCATCCCGAGATGCCCCGTGATGTAAGCCCTCTGCCACCGTCTTGTTTCCCAACAGAATCGACCTTCCCTGCCCCAGGGGCTGGTGGGGGAACCCCGTCTGCGGGCCCTGCCAATGCGCCGTGAGCCAGGGCTTCGATCCTGACTGCAACAAGACCAATGGCCAGTGCCAGTGTAAGGTGAGACCCCTGTGGGGACACCCACGCGTGCGCACGTGCACGGGCACACCTACATGCGTGTCTGTCTGTACACACATGCACGCTCACGCTCAGACGTGTGCTCAAGCACCGACTGCTCTTCCTGTGCGCATGGGTTGAGACCCCAGAGGCCCTACGGGTTCCTCGGCGCAAGACTGTCCCACCCTCTCTGTGAAGGTCAGCTCTTCTCGGCCCTGTCCGACCTGGGGGCGGTCACCGTCGAGTCTTGTCCTGAGTTGGTGCTCGGAGATGACTGAAGTTTTAAAAAAATACAAGCAGGACATGGTGGTGCATGCCTGTAATTGCAGCATGCTGGGAGGCTGAGGCAGGAGGATCACAGCTCAGCCTGGACAACTTAGCAGGACCCTGTCTCCAAAAAATAAAAAAAGAGCTGGGGGTGTCACTCACTGTGAAGGCCCTGGTTTAATTTTCAGTGCTTCAAAAGAAAGGGGGGAGACTGAGCTGTGCTTGAGAGACAGAGTATGTACCAAGCATGCGCAAGGCCTTGGGTTCCATTCCCAGCCCACACATGTGCACGCATGCACACACGTGCTCCAAAGCTGTAGTCCCGCTTGGTGTCCCGTCCTGAGGACCCTGGTGCCTGACTTCTGGGCTCGCGAGTTCTCCATCCACTGCCCAGCCTGTGGACCTGTCACTCCCTTTGTTGCTGCCCTCTGGTGAAGCCCGTGTCTCAGGGTGGCGCAGGTGCTTGCCGACCCAGGAGGGGGTTGATCACTAGGGACCCTGTGATGCGTCTCATGACATCACTCATCCCGAGGGCCTCCGTATCCCAGCTGTGAGTTGGGCCTCGTATCCCGAGGTGGAGGCAGAAATGGCCACGGGGTGGCAGGAGGGAGGGCGTGAGACAGACCCAGGGTCTGGCGAAACTGCATCTGTCATTCTTTTCTCAACAAAAAAAGTAGAAAGAGAGAAAGTGCCAGGCAGAGTTTCGAGGTCACTGTCACCCGCCGCACCCCCCGGCATGGCTGCCCATAGCACAAGCTTCCTTTCATTGGAACTTGGCACATTTCTGGTCCCTCTGTCCCTGCCTGGCAGTGTCCTGGATGCCGGCCCACAAGCCTGCCCACCACAGCCATCCCAGCACAAGAGGGGGACACTTGGATCTCTGGGGGCAGGGCCGGACCCAGGAATCTGAAACCTGAAACTGGTGCCCTTGATCACTGCAGCTGCCCGGTGGTGGACACATGGTGGCTTCTGATCTCTCAGGGGCCACCTTCCCCTTCTGTCTCCATCCGGATGGCTCTCTGACTCTCCTTATACTGACATGAAGGTGACTGGGATGGCTTTAAGAAGCGAGGGCCTTCGGGGCTGCTCCTCTCCACTCCTGTCCTCCTTTGCAGGGCCCAGGAAGCGGCCCAGCAGGCATGGGACATGGGCAGGGTGGCAAGGAGAGAGGCACGTGGGTCAGGCTGGCAGCCACCCTCCAGGGACCTTGGGAGAGCCTGGGCGTTGCTCAGCACACGTCCCCCGGGTTGGGGTGTCTCGGGTCACCGACCTGCCTCTGGTCTTGTAGGAGAATTACTACAAGCCCCCTGCCCAGGACTCCTGCCTGCCGTGCGACTGCTTCCCCCACGGTGCCCACAGCCGCACATGTGACATGGACACCGGGCAGTGCATGTGCAAGCCCGGCGTCATCGGCCGCCAGTGCAACCGCTGTGACAACCCTTTCGCCGAGGTCACCTCTCTGGGCTGCGAAGGTCTGTGATCAGGGAGGGGTCCCGTGGGAGAAGCGCTTGGCCTCATGCGTCGGAGGTGCCCTGGGCTGAGTGTGTTCTGTCCTCTGTACCCAGTGATCTACAACGGATGTCCCCGGGTGTTTGAGGCTGGCATCTGGTGGCCACAGACCAAGTTTGGGCAGCCGGCCGCGGTGCCGTGCCCCAAGGGATCTGTGGGTAAGTCCCATGGCCTGTTGGGTGCTCTCCAAGCGTCCTGTGCTGAGATTATAGGCCTGCGCCACATGTCCCGCTGGATGGACAGTTGGGCAGCGGTGGGCAGTGGTGGGAGACAGAAGATGACTTCTTCCTCAGTGGGAGGACAGACTCGAGGGAGGGTCGGAGGCTGTATGTGGAGTGGTGCTCGAGGCCGTCCGCCCAGCTGGGTGCACCGAGGACGCTCCGGCTCCCTGCCCGGGGACCCGGATGGGTCACTTCACCATTCAGTGTCACATTCTCGTGCCGTGGGGATGGCGATGGCGTCCATGCTGGAGGTCCGGCAGGTGCAGGGTGCAGTGAGTGCACAGCCTGGCTGGCTGCTTTTCTCACAGCTGTGCCCGTGTGTCTGCTCACCCTTGCTGTGCATTGGAAGGGTGTGGTAAATGTCAGAGCAGCCCTGGAGGTGGCCCTGGGTGTGGATGCAGGGAGCATATATCGGTCTCAGGGCCGAGGGCCTGCCCAGACCCTCACTCGGCTCAGTCCTGGGGTTGAGGCACGCTCAGGTGGGGCCCCAAGCAGGCACTGATCGGCAGTTGGGTTTCAGGTTCTAAATGCACCCGTGTTCTCCTCCCCAGGAAACGCCATTCGGCACTGCAGTGGGGAGAAGGGCTGGCTGCCCCCTGACCTCTTCAACTGCACCAGCGGCTCCTTTGTGGGCCTCAAAGTCACGGTAGGCTGGAGCACCCGGGAATGCTTGCAGGACACATGCATGAGTGTCCTTTGTGTGTGTGCAGGTGTATAGGTATGCTGGAGTGTTGGGCAGGGGTGCTGGTCTGTGGTTCCTTGCCTCTGAACCTGGTACTGACAAGCATTGCTCTTGACCGGTCAGAACCTGGCTCTGTCTCTTTGGTTCTGCAAACACAGGGTTCCCACATTCCCCTCGTTTGCTCTCTGTGCTTGCCCTTTCGGGGGGCAGGGTGATGGTAAGGATTGAATCAGGGTCTTTGCACCAAACTACATTCCCAGGCCTTTAAAATTTTTTTCATTTTGAGACAAGGTCTCACTAAATTGCCCAGGCTGGTTTCAAACTTGCAGCCCTCCTGCCTCAGCCTCCCAGAGTGCTGCGATTATAGGCCTGTACCACATGTCCAGCTGGATCCTGCTTTTTATGCTCCTGTTTATCCTTCTGCTCTGTCTGCACACCTTTTCCCAGAGCTCTCCGACCCTTTGTTTTCCTTCCCCATTCCCAGCCCCGGCTTTTTCTGGACTTTGGGGTTTTAAAGTTCCTTTCTGGAAGAAACTTGCACACGGGAGAGTCGGGAATCTGAGTACTAGGAGAGACCAACGGCAGCCTGTTGGTCTGCAAACCCCAGACTCACTTCCCCATTCCAGAATGAGAAGCTGGGCCGAAACGAGTCTCGGATGGACGGTGACCAGGTTCTTCGCCTGGTGAAGGCACTGCACAATGCCACACAGCTGGGTGGCGGGCTCTTTGGCAGTGATGTGCGCACGGCCTACCAGCTGCTGGCCCGCGTCCTGCAGCACGAGAGCCAGCAGCAGGGCTTCGACCTGGCGGCCACACGCGACGCCAACTTCCATGAGGTAGGGATGACGGCAGAGCCCCTTCTGTGGTCCCCTGAGGTGGGGTGAGGCAGGTGTCGGTTTGTGTCACGGCGGCCAGGGAAGGTGTGGTCACAGCTGTGATTATGACAGCAGTGGCCACTGATGTTGCAGACCGTTAGCACGTACCAGGGTAGCACGCTTTTCACGTGAGTCTGCCACGCGGTCCTCCACACTGTCCACGTTATCGGACAGGAAAGGAAACTGAGACGCTGAGAACTACAGGTCTGTCCAGGGCATGGCTTGCAAATGGCAGGGCCAGTAGCAGACTCTGTAACGATCCCCTGCCCCAAGTCCAGTTAGCAGTACCTGTGGCCTGACTGGCGAGAGGTGCCCCAGTTCTGGGGTCTGTGACCTGTTCCCGGGGTGTCCCCAAGCCGCCATCTTAGTCACTTTTCTCGTCGCCAGGACAAATCCCCAGCACCCACAACTAAAAAAGGAGAGGGTTTCTCGGGCCCCACAGCTTCAGGAGTCTTTGTCACCTTGGTCCTTGCATGGTCTGTGGCTTGGCAGGAGGGCTTGGTGGAGGAGACATGGTGCCACCTACCAGCGCCCAGTGCTTTCGGAACCTCTAGGCCACAGCAGCTCTGGCCAGGCCTCCTCCTGAGCTCCAGAAGCTCTCCTGTCCCCATCCACACTGAGCACTCAGGGCTTGGTGAGGGCTCCGACGTGACATGGACCCCCACCTGAAATCATTTGCTGTAGCAGAGACTGCGCTCCATTTCTGGTCCATCTCATGTCCCCCATGCCCAGGCCACCTCTGATGGGTGCAGGTGCAGTGTCACGCCAGAGTCCCTGACCACTCCCCTGCGTGGCTGCACGAGGGGCCCTCGCGTCACCTGCTTTCCCCAGAAGAGTCCTGGGCTCCCACACGACCAGAGGCGTCTGTGCATGTGTCCCCCTTAGTGTCCAGGGCATACCTGCCGTGACACCCTCCTGGCAGCCTGCCTCTGAGACCGAGTCCCCTGTCCTGGCCTTTCCACCTTGGCCGGCTGACAGCTCTGCAGAGGCTGGGTGCGTTCATGGTAGCCAGGCCTCTGCAGGCTCGAGGCTGAGCACTCACCGTCTATCTGTCTAACCAGGATGTCATCCACACGGGCAGCGCCCTCCTGGCGCCGGACACCAGGGCCACGTGGGAGCAGATCCAGCGCAGTGAGGCTGGCGCCGCCCAGCTGCTGAGGCGCTTTGAGGCCTACTTCAGCAACGTGGCACGCAACCTGCGGAGGACCTACCTGCGGCCCTTTGTCCTCGTCACTGCCAACATGAGTACGGGCTCTGGGGGCCCAGGGCCATCTTGGGTGGGCTGGGGGGCGCGAGCTGGGCCAGACTCTGCAGAAGTGAGGCGGCACCTCTGGCCTCCATCCTCTGTCTGTTAAATGACAGAATTGGTCAAGGTGGTGGCCCTGAGGGTTGGGAGGGCAGATCTGAAATCACACACACATCTGGCCTGGGGCCAGGGTTTGGCAGAGGCTCTGCCCTTGGTGGGTGGGTCCAGCATGAAGACTCCTGGTAAGGCTTGGGTGCTGGGGGTACACAGATTCCCCCACGGACACAGCCATGGAACAGACACAGGAGGGACATGCTAGGACAGGCGCAGGGTCACCACCAGCCAGTGTCCAGGCAGTGGGGAAAGATGCGCGCGCACACACACACACACACACACACACACACACACACCCCCACCC